GCAGTACACGAAGGCTCGTCCCCGTCACTAGCAAGAGTCGTCGTTCGTGCAGGTCAGGCTCATCTGCACGTACCCTAGGAGATTGCGCTTCTCTTGGACGCTCGTAAGAAGCTCTATCTGCAGTGTCAGACGCCCCGTTTTCGTTCATCAACTCACCTGCCGCTCTCTCGCGCGTCTTAGTCGCAGAACCGCCATAGACCTGCCCGCCCGCATATCGCACTCGTCTGTCCCGAGGTGATTCGTACAAACTGTACAATCTAGCCTATACTTTTGCGTGCTGAATGTTCTGCGGGCCTTTATCGTCGACAGTGCCAGTGCAATCTTCAATCTGGATCCATTCCTCCGACCCCTTGGACTCCGCCGGCGACAGCATAGGTTCCAGGCAAAGACGCGCATGCGGTCCGTATGTAAATGACACATCCAGGACGAACGGTTTTCTCCTGCCCTCTATGATCGCGTTGATTCCGACCTTATTCCTCGTTTTGTTTAGCGGGATGTCATGATATATGCAATCGTAATACATGCTACATCTCTTGTGCGTCCGCCTGAATGTCCTCCCTAGAAATGGTCTCTTCTTCATCATTCACTCCCGAAACCCCAATCGCAACCATAATCAATGACTTATTGAATAATTCAGTTTTGGCCGGGGTGAGAGAATTCAAGGTACTGACCTTATTGGCGTCCATGACGCTCCCTCCAGCTTCCGCAATCCTCAGTGCGGCCGTCGTCGGCACTTGGTCTAAGTTTGCGGCAGCCACTGAAGCTCTTGACGATTCTTCGTAGTCGCCAGTCTGCGTGGGCAGAGCGGGGAGATCGACCATCTTCGTCAGGTCCCGCAGAGCTCGCACCGCAGCGGCAGGGGGTCCACCGTCCGACGTGGCGATTGTCGGTAGTGTAGATAGTGTCGAACCCGGTTCTAACCAGGCTCTCAGACCAGCTGCTTTCAGAAGGTCACGAAAGGCTTCGGATGCGGGAGATCTCTGTCTGTCCCGGATGGCTTTGGCATACATCCGTCGCCACGACCAGATGCTTGGCTGTTCTTTGTGATCGACATAAGGTGAGTCGGGGTTCTGCCAGCGCCCCCGCCAATGGCAAGAGCCCACGCCAGAAAGAAGTGTGAATGCGTTACGGGCAGCTAGCGTCAGACGCCGTCCCTCAATATCGTCGAATAAGCGTTCGTCCCCGTCTCCGTCGTTCGAGGAGAGAGGCAGAAGACGCAAGCTGTTCTCCGCGCCGTCCAAACTTCGCAGAATGAACGCCAAGACATCCCTGGTTGTCGATCGCGGATGGGTGTCCTCTGACAGACGGCGCAGTAGCGTCATAATCAGGGAGGACCGTAGGCTGCTCACCGCCACGAGCAGGCTTGGGTCTCCCTCTCGGAGCGCTTGTGCGTTCAATTGGTTCAGTCGCCCGGCAAAATCGCGGAATCTTCGGAGGACGGGTCGTGCAGCGGTCCACCTCCACCCCTCGCCGATTGCCGCAAAAGAGTACTCGTCGTTCTGCGTCTTCGCGATAAAAATCGCCTGGAGAAGTCGAACAGCGCCTTTGGCTGTGGATACTGAATCCACAGAGTCCAGGGTGGTGGCTACTTTTGTCATGAAGCCCTGCAATTGCCGGAGTCCCACAAAGAGCGAATCGTAATTGTGCACCTCGCCATTAAGCAAGTAAAGCCCAATGTAGGTCATCTCCCTGGGGCGCGCGAGAACGTATACAGACACGTGGTCCCAGAGGAATCTGAACGCATGTTCGTCCATGAATGGTCGCCCTTGAGATTCCCCTCTGATGGCATATGCGCTCAAAAGTCGTTGCAGCAAGGTCGTTGCGCGCCGAGCCTTCGGTCGAATGTTGTCCCGGATGGCAGCGTGGAGAACACGACTTGTTCGCTTGGGCTCCCGCATGAACTCCCAGAGGAGTCGGGGGCCAAGGAACTGGCGCATGATGGGCTCTAACGGACCGTTCTCTATCCGATATAGAGCGGCAGAGATAAGAATGAAGCCATAGTACAGCAGACAGGATAGCGTTGACAAGGGGATGATGACGAAGGCAGTGAAAATCTGCGTCAGAGGCGTGCGATAAGGACATCTCGAGTCGAATAGAGGGATTGCGCTGGCTAGGAGGTATGAGGCCGCCGAGATGATGCAGATCCAAAATACTGCGTCAGCCGGTCCAGTATTTATCGGGAAGAGAAAGAAATTGAGTCCCACAAGGAAGATGACAACAGCGGCATGCATCATGGTGACCACCAGTGAAGCGACGTAGTCGATGCCGTACCGTTGTACGCCTAAGTGAACGAGGAGTTGCATCAGAGAATACTGCTCTAGGCTCTCTCCAACAGGGCGCGCTTGGCCGAGGAAGCGCCTGGTCCAATCTTGGACTAGAGTTGCTGCAAGAGCGCACAATAGAGACAGGACTAATGCCGCAAACCAGAGTGTATTAACGAGGATCGCGGTCTCGGAAGCCTGAAAGGGAGGTATGGCGACGTCGGTCGACAGGGTAGAGTTCGTGGAGTTTGTGATTGAGACAAGTTGAGCAAGAAGGACGACCGTCTGCGCCCCCGTGTCTGGTGAGAGCGACTTGTAGCTTTCGATTAAAAATGCCCCAACGGTGGCGGCAAACAACCCTGCCTGTGCTACGTTGTTAGCTTGCACGACAAGGACAGACTACCCATCCGTATACTTACGAAGGTCAGTATACCCTGCATAGTCGTAGTGGAAGCGAGGCTGAGTCTGTTTCGCTCCTGAGCAGCGGAGGTTTCATAAGCCGACCATGTTCCATCGCCCGGTTGAACTGGCGCGTCTGTTTGGACGTGAGATGCTTTACATGCGCACGCGGAGGGCTCCATCCTGAGTAAACGGTAGGATTGTTGTGAGGGACAGAGTCTAACGCGCAAGTGCCGAGTCGGTGGTCGAAAGTATTGCGATGATGGTGGCGTGAAGTAAGGAACCCGCCCGCGTACCTGTGACCTTGCACAGCCGATCATAGGATCCGTGCGGCAAGCTTCGCCGACCTTGCAAATTAAGAGGAGCGATTCCACCATCTCCTGCAAGACACGCGGAGAAAGCGTGTGTAATCGGTGATACCGTGCGTACGCACGTCCTGATATGGCTTGTGCTAGGTCCGGCGGGGCAAACCCCTGTCGCGAGATCGTGAGGGGTGCTCGTCGGGCGTGTAGTAGCGTGCGTAGGACGCGAGTAGTATGCGTTACCCTTTAATCGCTCAGGGTCTTGTGCTGAGACTAGGGCAACGTCATTGTAACGCCGCGTGCCGGCGGGGCGACATCATCACAGCATAAAGAGGCGGTACTGATGAACGTAGATGCCGTTGGAGGAGGAGGTGGGATCACATGTACGCGTTATTATGGTCGCCTCACTTGCGCTTGTCGAACATCTTCTGAATCCACTCCATCACAGGTACCTGAAACCCCTGCATGCCGAGCCTTGCTCTCTACACCTAACCGACTGGTCACTAATTCGGCACGTTACTCTTTCTCATCGCGATCGTTTGGTATCTCCATAGTGCGCTAGCCAGACGGCGATACTATCGCCGCATACCTTCATAAATTGGATGCTTGCAATTGTGCTCGTTATTCAGACAACGTAATGCATCCTTGATATTGCTACATGATACAACGGACCAATCATACTAGAGAGCGAAGCGTGAGAATATCTGTGTCATAAACATCAATCGAACTGGTACCGCTCATTCTTCCGCAAAAATCCCACCCCGGCCAGCAAGTACTCATTGAAGTATTTATACGTCAGCCGGTCGAGCAAGTCCGTGTCCACTTCGTGGGCGGGTGAAGGCAGGGCGCCCTTTTTTGGCTTGGGGAAAACACCGTCAGCCTCAACCCGAGCACTGTCGGCCACCGCCATCCACCGGATTACCAGGTCATGCGCCTCGTCATTGCCTGCAGCGAAGTCATAATCATCTGTGCGAGCCATTAAGCCGAACTTCGCCGAGGCAAGAGCTTCGAGATTGGGCGAATTTAGTTTTTCCAGCACCCCCTTTTCGAAGTCGGTCTTGTTGTCCTGCTTCCGACATGCAAGGGTCCAAAGCAGAAGCCACACCACAGATTCCATGTCATCCAGCGCACAGTGTAAGGACGGCCAATCGTGGTGCCACGCTCGAAGTAGGCGTTCTGACATGAACGAGAGTGTGCCCTGTACACACGATGAACATATGCCCTCGATGGAAACGTAAAGCTTACTCACCGACTTGTATGCCATGAGCTCTTCCCTGTCAGTGCATTTCACGGCCAAGTCACCGTCAATGATCACACAATTGCACTTGCGGAGGTGATCCTGCAAGAATGAGAAATCACAACCAGGCAGTCGTCCGCTCGCCGCCGCGTTCAATTCGGCCACTTGTTCGGCCACTGCGCGCATCTCAGGGTTTAAGCGATGTAGCACGTTCCCGATGGAGATGTCACGGTGTATCCATCCAAGGCGGTAGGCGTTCAAAATACCTAGAAATTGTCAATCAGCACGTACAGCAATGGTCATCTTGAGAGGAAATACCGATGAATGCGTCAACACATGTATAGACGATTTCAAAAACATCCTCCACCTCCGTCAGGGGCTTGCCCTCAACGTTCGAGAAGAGACGACGATGACAACGCTCTTCCTGCGTCAGTATGGCATCCGAACCACCGCCCAAAGCGGCGCAACTACGCAAGCCGGGAATTTCCAGGAAGTCTTTCAGTGGATGGTCCACGGTCAAACCCCAGATGATGCTTGAGAACCCGTGCTGATCTTTCACGGCGCGCAAGAACTCCATCTCAGTCTTTGCGCGAGCTACGAGGGGGTAGGAATCCTTCATAATCAAGTACTCCGGTGTCGCGTTTTCCCAGTCTAGTTCCTGATCCTTGATGCACATGATAGGATTTCTCGGTGAGGATGAGAACCGCTTGTTCTCCGGCGAAGACGGACGTGGACCTAAGCTTTATTAGAACTGCACGCTCAAGGCTGTGCCGCAGACTCACTGGAGTCGCGAGAGGGTGCATCTCTTGAGCGTAATCGGGCTCCAAGAGGACTGTTAACAGGGCTTAGTGCGAGTCATACCGTATCCAGGGCTAACGGGCTTACTCAGAGGCTGTGGGGTGTGGGTGATCATCCGCGGCTTTGGGTGATCCAGAGGATGGGACGCTATGGATATGGTTCATGTCAGCACCTTTTCGCAGTAGCGTGCAAACTATATGCACTCACGAGGCTTGGAGGTCGGAGAAACGTTGCCGGACATCCTCTAAATCCGTGGATTGCGGCAAATTGTCGCGCGGATGCGTGGCAGCTTGACAGGCGGGGGGCTTCAAGCGGTACACGCTGGTCGCCGTACCTCTGAGAGAGGGCGTCTTGAAGAGAACCTTATCCACATCCCACCACTCGTAGGCGTCGGCTCTTGGAAGCGCAAACGACAACACTTCGCCCTCGTACTTCGCAGAGACATCGTAACCAGCTTTATCAGGCTGAAGTTCAACATAAGCACAAAGGATCTCTGCGAGGTGATCGCGATCCCGCTGATGTCGCAGGGACAGCTTCTCCGAAATGAAGACGCCCATGCGCGTACAGAACGCGATATTCGCGGTGGATTTTTTCTGGTCGACCATCAAGACCGGGCAGAACCACCGTAGACCGCTTCCCAAGGTCAGCCTGCCATACGTGAGTGCCTGCCGCAGGCACTGCATCCAAACATCCTTAACCTCCACAGCGATATCAACATCGAACCACGAGATAATGCGCTTGCGGGCGAGCTTGCCGCCCAACCAAGCGGCTATCAAGTCCGGGTTGAGGGCGAACTTCAGATGCGCAGTGCGGTCGATGTCGTCGTGTTTGTGGTCCCCAGCCACCGAGCGATTGTATGGGTGAAAGGCAAAAAGCTTCTTGTACCGGTCGTCGATGAGCGTGTTCAGCCAAGCGGCTAACGGGATGTAGTTCTCTTGCTCCGGAGACAACCCCAACATGGGAGGTGAAGCCGGTGTTGTTCGGCGCGCGGAGGAAGTTGACGTGGGATTGATCAAGGAGGTTTTGAGCAAACTGGTCGCGCTGAATTCGTAGATTGCACCCTTACACTCCTGCAATATGAGTTTTTGGACCGTCTCTTGATCATACGGTTTCAGGAGCGGGTTCTCCGGCGTGATGTCAATGTTGATGGCCGCCTGATTCGGAGGGGTACTGCGGGGGTATCGGTAGACTGCTGGCGCAGAGATCGGCCGCGCTTCGCTGGGAATGGGAATGGGACCGACGGTGACATGTTGATAGATAGGGGTGGCCATAATAATCGGGCTGGGTATCGGAGAGAGGACTGCTCGACTCAAAAGAGGAGACGGGGGTAGGAGCAAAGGCGTGAAAGCGACCACGAGTCTCGAGCCAGCCCGCGCGCCAGAACGGTTTACCTGCTGACTAATGCGCGTGAGCGCGTTGCAGGGTCCGGCGCGTGTATACAATATAAGGTCGCGTATCAACACCAAGCGGAGAACTACAAACTCCCTCTTTCCTCATACCCTCTTGGCCTATTAGCGTGAAGGGCGAAGCTACCTTACCGTAGCTCGAGAGGCGAAACCGTCGCCGAGTCGGTTTCTTCGCCCTTCGCCCTTCAAGCTTCAAGCTTCAAGCTTTTCGTCTGCGATGCTAGGCGGCGTCCGCGGTCCGACGCGTGACGCGCGCGTCTTGGCTCCTTTGGTGGCACAGCCTGCGGACGACCACAGGCGCCGGATACGGTCTCACGAATTCCCTCCTAGTCGTGCCAGCTACAGTTACGCCGGGTCATCTGAGCGACAGCAATGGCTCGCCGAGCTACCTTCTTACAGTCGCCACCGTGGCTCACCAACAAGCTTCGCTGCTGTCGGATTACCGCGGCCACACGGCGACGAGCTTCACGATCCGGATATTATCACACAGGCACCAGGTCCTATGGGATCGTTCTTCTGCACTGGCTTCCGAGACCCTCGGCCTGCGCTGGATCCTGGGCCTCCACCTTTCACAAATCTAAAACCAAATGCAGTTCAACCTCAGCTGCCGTTACGTTGGCCGGGCGACACCAGGGTCGTCGCCTTCCCGAGTCCGCTTTGGTGGAAACCGCATGACGCATACGTCGCGGGCCGGTACATGCATCGTACTCAAGCTCGGTGCATCATCTGGGCGCCAGAGGATGACAACAACCTCTTGCTTGGAACAACAGACGAGTGCACGTTGACGCCAGAGGCCATCGAGGCCATCATAGCGTCTGCAGAAGACTGCGCAGCCTTGAGCGCCGGGGCAATTGCACTGATGAGCGGTGATGAGCTCGACCATAGGCTCACAGCGCCCTCACTCCTGTTCTTGTGCCCCCCATCGATACCGCGACCGGGAGCGGACCCTGCATGGAGAGCGGTCATGACTTCTAGAGAGCACCGAGACAAGCTCGACGACTTCCGTAACGCCTGCCTGAACCACTTGGGGCTAGCAAGTCTTTTGCTGCGCGGCATACCTTTGGAGGAGCTCATGATCGCGAAACCGCGAGATTGGCTTTATCCATCCTTTCCGGGCGCCACTTACTACGATGCGCTGGAGGCGTATGATGTAGTCGAAGGGCGTCTTGCTGGCATCATCATCGACCTGGGTCGTAATCGTGAACACCTGCTCCCGCCTTTAACACTCTTCGCTTGCTGGAGCATGCCTTACACCTGGTACATGCATCATGACTTGAAATCTCCGATCGGTCTGAGGAGGCATGACCATGACTGGCACAGAAGACACTATTTTGTGCTGGAACAGACGCAGGACGAATGGCAACACGCGCAGGACCTATACAGCCAGCGGCAGACCGAACAACAAGCACCCCGTGTTGACCAGCGGCCCTTCCGCTTCGAAGCCTTCTATGTCATGCCATGGAAGGATAACGCGGGGCCGCGCTTCGAGAGGCTTCTGAGGTACGACACTGGCGAGGGCGGGAGGTCACTTGCGGGTCTTCCGGTGAAGAAAGTCGACAGGTCGGTGGTAATACGAGAGAACTACTTCGACAGATTCGAGTACGTGGAGAACTGGCCCAAAGGAAGCGTTGTTTTCAAGGGATACAATGATTCGGATTGGGTTGAGCAGGAGAAGGAAGAGTTCCAAGCCCGGAAACGCGGTCGCAAACTTCCACGTCTCCCCGCCCCTTCTTCCCCAGAAGACGAGGACTCGCCTAGCGACGAAGACTTACCCGTCATGCGACCGGCTAGTGGACCGCCAGCCTCAAGCCCACCGCCAGCCCCGAGACCGCGCGAAGGCAAACAAAGAGCCGGATGCCCTTTCCCGAGGGTGATTGAGCCACATATGCCTCTGGAGGCGAACTGGCGGGCAATCGTCTCTAGCGCGTTCCCACCACCCACGCCTGCAGTGGCGCCTTCATCGCGATTGGAGCATGTGCAGGCGCCGGCTGCAACGGAAGAGGGACCGGAGGCGTCGTCGTCGTTAGGCGTGGCCGAAAACAGCTTTGAGCTGCAGCAACCGACCGCCCATGAGACGGGAAACTCGTCCCGCTCCAGACATGGAGGATGGCACGAGGTACAGTCCAGTCTAGGACGTGAAACCCGGCAGCAGCAACCTGGCCGCCGCCCACTCGCGCTCGCCACGCGGCGAAGTCCGTACGAATCACCGAAGTCAGCGACCCGTGGGTGGCGGGACGGGCGTCGCAAACCAGCGCAAGGTGGTAGCTCTTATCGACCTTCCGTCCCAGAAGCTTCCTCTCGCTTTCTTTCCTGGGGCGCTCACTGTGACGGACGGCTGTAGACACAGGCGTAGGAGTGCCTATCGGCGAAGGCCGAGGAAAGGCGCGGCAAGGGATCGGAGACGGCAGCTTGAAGCTCGTCTCCTCACCTCCTACACACACCGGAACACTTATTCTCCTTTTAATCTTCTCTCTTCCGTTTTGTTTTTCCTACCTTTCGTCTCTTATTCCCCTCGTCTTTGTTTTGTTCGCGCTTGGCGCTCTCTCGACTCATCTTGCCATATCACACTACCCTACTCTCGGATCCGGCTCGATTGAATTGGTCCTGCTCTCACGCATCTATCTCTCTCGCATGAGCCCCCTACGTCGAATTTGATGTAGCGCATTCTCCTGAGTTGTATGGCGGTCCAAACGCGTCAAAATTCGAATTAGATTTAGAACGCGGATTTGATTTACCATTGACGTGCAGTCGCGGCGAGCCGGCCTTCCCTGAGCCTCCCGTGCTTCCTACCGCCTGTCCCGCCCACCACTTTGACCCTATCGCGTACTATACGTGCTAGGCTGTCGAACGAAGCCCGTCAAGGCGCAGAAGGCAGGGGGAGGAGGGACAAGGAGCGGCGGCCAGCGCCGCGTGTTCGGCTGACACGGCCACGTATTTTGCCGCGTGTGTCGCAAAGCGCGTCACGCCCGTTCGCCCTCCTCGTTGGCACGCTAGTATCTCGTACTGGAAAGTCGCTTAGGAATATCATATGTCATCGATAAGCTTTGTACACGCTTATGAAATCATCCAGTGAGAATTGCAAGCCATATGTATGAGCTTAGAGTGGGATTACCAAGATTTTAAGATCATGTCTCGGTAGTTAGATACATCAGATCCGGATTCTGCATAGCTACAGGTGCTACTAGTGGACTTCGGAGAGGCAGAGACTCGGAAGCACGAACGGGAGGACGAACGGGCGCGACGCGCTTTGCGACACACGCGGCAAAACACGTGGCCGCGTCAGCCGAACACGCGGCGCTGGTCGCCGCGCTGACGCCGCTCCTTGTCCCTCCTCCCCTTCCCTTCTGCGCCTTGACGGGCTTCGTTCGGCAGCCTAGCGCGTATAGTACGCGATAGGGCCAAAGG